AGGTTGAAATTAATACAAAAATGAGGAACATTCTGGATCACTTTCCTCGCTCTTCTTTAGTCTTTTTTATGCATTATAGAAGTATCAGATCAGCTTTCAGCAGATATGCAAAATCAAACTACTGACTAGAGAGGAAAAAAAAAATTGATTGGGACATTTCTACATTGAAGTAACAATATGGACCCCTTATGCAAATGTGCCTTTTGAAATGATCCCACCCCAGTGACAGTTTTTGTGCTTTTATTTCCAAGTGTGTAAAACATGACTATTATTTGCAAGTTCACCTTTTTTTGTTTTTGTTTTTAACCACAGTTCATTTATGCAAACTTTTGAAAAGAGTATTTTTAAAGAGTAAATATACTGTTTAACTGCGATTGTCCAAAGTGTTTTTGGACTACAGAACCGTAAAACTCATGCACAGCATCTAGCTAAGCTGCTGGCAATAAAAATATTTCTTAAAAAAAAAAACATTTCGCATCTCTGCAGCACTATAAATGCTACAACTAATCTAATAATAATAACTATATATTAAAATGCTACAAAAGGAAGATTTTGTAAAAACATTGACATTGTTCAATGTACAGTGTTCAATCTATTGAAATGGGAGTCGAACTACAGGTGTGTAGTGTTTGCAATCACAATCTACTTTGCCCAGCATACATCGCTTAAAAAGTTATTTTTAGTTAAAGCTAATTTCAAATCTTCAAAACTTGTGGGGGATAAAAAAAACTGAGTAGAAACTATGTTAATAAGCAGTATCTGGCAACAGTAAGCCACGTTGTTCACAGGTGATGTAATTGCTTGTGTAACAATTAAACAGAGAAACAATCAGTATTTACGCTTTTTAAGAGTGAAATATGACATGAGCATTTCAGTGACAAGTGAGAATGAAAAAATATTTAAAAATACTACTACTAATAATGATGTATAAGCACTACAGGTGAAGCATTTCAGACCAGAATTGTATAAAGTCTACTTTTCCAGTAGTGCTGTAAAATAAGCAAATGTCATTCTTTGGATGAAATCAAAACAGAAAAAAAAATTATTTACAAAAAAAAAAAAAAAAACTCCCATCTAAAATCGCTTTACATCTTCAATACCCAATCCGACCGCTAGAGGCGTTGAACACTGGTGCACCTGCTGCCAAGGCAACATCCTAGGCAGTGAAAGACTATGGCATGATGAGCCATTTCACAATCTTTAACAGTGAGGTGGAGTTTAAAGTAACAGTATTAAAAGTGCAATCGTGTGAGGACTGAAATCGCCTCCCCTCACGGTGTTTGTGTATTCGAGGACACACTCAAGTCTCCCCTCACATGCCGCACGTGGTATGGACCCGCATTATAATTAGGATTGGCGTTTTAAACTGCGTCATGTTGCCAAAACCAACCTCAGTGCCCTAGTGAGGGGAAGAAGCGGACAGCACCGGCCAGAAATGCACGTACTGGGAAAAAACAAACCGCGTTTTACCCGCAAAACTGTCAAAGGAATGTTTAAAACGCGTTTGTCGGGACACACATTGGCACGCGCAGCCAGGAAACTGGATAACTGGGTCAGGCCGAGCACATACGATTCAGGAAAAACTAGAAATTCGGGAGAGAGAGAAAAAAATCAAAACGTCTTGGATATCTTTACAAGTATGCGTTTAATATAAAGTACAAGCCGATTTTAAATTAATGTTCTATCTAATTAGTCAAATTTCATATTTAAGCGAATATTTTGAGCAAAAAAAAAAAAATGTCTGACTGAAATACCTGAATGACTCAGAGTGACATGCAATCTGCGCATAATATATGAATGTATGGCGCAATCAGTCAACCTGAGACACACGTCGCCTCCGTTGACCATGCGATAAAATACTGATGTCTCAATTAGTCTTTTGATTTAATCTCATTTAACGATTAGGAATTGACGTGAGTGGTACAATCACCCCCCATTTGTGGCTTCTGTCAATGAGGTGTTAAATGCGCAAAAAAAAAAGTTACAAAATTATTAGTTTCACTCAAAATCCACGAAGTTCACCTTTATTTAGTTTAAGGCTGCGCCAAATGCGCACTGCATTTATCCCACCCATGATCTGCCAATACAAGCTCTCATGTCGTTCAACTTACCTGCCCATTTTCCCAATTTGGGAGAGAGTAAGTCCCCGTTTCCCAGCACCCATATCCTGAATCCAGTGATGGTCTTGTACACCACATACAACGCCAGCGAGGCCGTGATAAGTGCACCGACCCAGAAGAGCGCTCTTTCGGCAGGCTGTAGCGTCTCCACCACGTTAAACGACTCCATGTCTACGGCTGGCTGCGCGTGGTGAATGACCTGCAAAATTAGTCGTTAAGCACTGCTTTAAAGCTTCAATGTGTGCGCCCCTTTATAAGCAGGTTGTGGCATCACACCCCTACAACTCCTCTAACATACTAGTCTATCCAGATTTAAGTGCACACCTCCCACATACTCCATCGCCGCCCATGCGAGCCCACGTCCGTTACCTATTGGCTGAAACGCGCGTCCGTCAATCACTACTTGCAGATCATTGGCTAATGTGCGCGTCAATCTTAAAGAGCCCATTCTCATTCATTCGGTTGCCCGTTTCAATGGGGCGGACCGAAAACTCTTCTGATTGGACGATCATTACGGTAACCTCCATTCAAATAATGTCATTGGTTGTGATTCAGAACTGGTTTTTCTGTTTCAGTCAGGGTTACGAAACCTCAAAACCCACGCTTCCAACGATCACCCCCCACACTATTTTATGAATGAAGTTTGTTGCTCATTGGCAACGAGCACTGCTGTTGTCCCGCCCCTGCTGAGCAGACTGGAAGATTCCATTCGTCGACGCGAATGTCATTCACGTTCATTCACCAGCGCTGTCACACCAATGAGTCATACTTTGAGGGAAGAAAAAGAGACGGTCATGCTTATTTGGTGCATTTTAGCTCGAAAGCCACATGTATGACTCGGATTTTACATTTTGTAGACTTCAGTAATGCACATGTAAAACAAAATAGTGAATTAAAGACACATCCAGCATGTTCTCACAGCGTATCAGAGACGAATGATACAAAATAAATGTTACGAGTGTTTTGTGGATACCTCAAAGTCATATAGAAAATGAAAAGTGTAATGGATATCGATATGATGATCAATAGAAGTTAACATAACATTTTAAAAATAAAAGACTGTATTATCAGATATTTTTGCCTTGGAGAGACGCAATATTGGAGATATTTAAATCTGCAGTTTATGTGTATATGTAAAATACACACACACACACACACACACACACACACACACACACACACACACACACACACACACACACACACACATATATATATATATATATATATATATATATATATATATATATATATATATATATATATATATATATATATATATATATTTACATTAAAGGGATAATTCACACAAAAGTAAAAATTATTGAAAAGGCAGTGGTTACATGTTTCCAACATTCCTCCTTTGCGCTTAACTGACAAAACACAACCCTCAAACTGGTTTAGAACAGGTGAAGATGTTCGCAAATCATAACATTATTTTCATTTGGTAGTGGTAGTGTATTTTAACAGGTAACACACTACACACGTATTTGGATTAGCAAACATTTGTTCATTTACTCAGTAAAGTGCGTATAATCTTAGACGCCAATAGAAGGCAAGACGGCCTAGACATTATATTTCATGTAAGCGCGCTCCAAATTCAAACGCTGAACAGCATCATTCCGAATGAACTACAAATACCACACGGAGCCGCGCGCAAATATCGCGAGAACTCTCCGCGAGAGCAAGAAGGAAGACGGGATGGTTATGTAAACACACAGGCACGTAGTAGGTATGCAGCTGAGCATTCTGTGAAATTAGAGCGTAAACTGTTGTGAAACACATTTTTAATCAACATACACATCTATGCAGGTACGGAAGCGATACTCGAGCCATTAAGACTCGTGTCAGTCAACAGTTGTCCTCTTTTTTTTCCTCGTGACTAGCTTGTCAGATTAACATTCACTACACAGACTGGATCACTCCAACACATCCACGTTCACTGTCGCCATTCGGTTTACTCACGACTCGAAATTTAACCTAAAATATAAGCCCGTCGATATGCCTACAATTCAAGCAACGCGTGAAACACATAAACCACATGCTGGTTAGTAGAGAAAAAAACATTGGAGTCGGTATAAAGCAGTTTCTTGTCAGTATTTGGAATAGTAATATGCTGTGGAAGCTTCTCTCTACGCGGTTCCCTCACAGAACTTTGTCAATTTTTTTTAATATCTGAAAAGCTCCAAACACAAACACAAGTTTGAAATATGTCACAAACTGTGCATTTCCCCACACTTTACAACAGACAAATAAGCAAGCAGACACTAAAATTACGCCAAACGTTTTATTTTCACTGACAAAATAAAATGACAGAGCATACAAAATTAAGCAGTTTGAGAGGAACATATTTTACAGAATGTGATGTGTACAACAAACCTCAAGCAAGGATTTTGCAACATTACTAACACCCCATATTGTACTTTAATCATCACCATATTATTCACACAGCTTATTTTATGCAACAAAACAGCTAAATACCTAAATAATTAGTCAGGGTCGCATAATATATATATATATATTTTTATATGTAATAAAAATCACACTAACACACAGAAGTGCAGAGCCCACACGTTACGTTCGTACATCGTCCACACTGCAGCAACCACATGCAACTCATGTTATTCAGTTTAGCTCTAACCTTCAAACAAGCTTAGAACTTTATATATATATATATATAAACTGCTAAGCAGATACATCGTATAATTAAAAAAAAAATATTCATAATAACAAATACAGTGCACTGGGTTATTTTTCATTGTTGTAGCTACTATAATAAAACACTCTAAAAAATACTACAATAGCACTGCATTATTTACTACAATAATAATTTTCTCTAACAAGCCTTAAAGCATTCTTTTTGACAGTCCCCCCTTCTTTCTCTCCCTCACACACACTCACACATACACACGTATCGTCTCACTCTCTCAAGTAGCGCATTACACATTCCAGCTGTCAGTCTTCGATGCTCATTGATCTACATCAGAAATCCCAACGCTAACTCAATCTACATTTGTCGTTGTTTAATTTCAAACATGCTCCTTCCTTTTCCTGTACCCCTTTGACCCCAGTAGGACTAATGTTTCACATTTATTAGACTCCAAATGCGTCCTAAAGCTACTAATGCAGTGTATCAAATAATCACACAATAAAATAAACACATCTAGCGAAAGAATAAGTTTAAAAAGCATAATCTTTACGTCTAAGCTCATGTAGGCCACGTGTGGTACGTCAGCAGCTGCAGCGCGTTTCAGCACCACGTGCACTGGACAGCGAACGCATGACAGAACAAACCCTCCGTTCAACCCTTAAAGCTTAAATCAACACTCTAAACAAACTCTTAGGACGCCATAAATATGCAGACCACACAATTATAAAAAGCACAAGCCTAAAAAAACTGGCACCTGTAATGTTCATATATTTCTACACACACTTCTGCAGACGTCTCTTGCGCTCGTTTTACGCACGCGTTCTTATTACCAGAGTCACAACAAACGCATTCCAGTCTACATATATGTTATTATTTAATTAGAACAAGTAACGTTTCATATAATATTCACTTCTGTGCCGATTATTAAAACTCAACACCAAGCGCTCACGTGCGTCTCGTCTGCACATTTCAGGTTAATGTTTTCATCTATGATGATTTTACCTGCAAAAGTGTTTTATTTTCTTAGTCCTAGCTCTTAATACACCATCATTTTCACATTCTCTGATGTCTCACGCAGTTTAAAGCTCACACGTTGTATATGTGGCATAAACACAAGTCCAGATGATTTATTAAAAAGCTCAACAAGTGCAGACAAATATTGCAAATACCTGACACTGTTATCTTGCTCCTATAAAGTAAATCAACTTGCTGAATATCCATTTACAGGTGGAAATAGAGCAGTCCAACAGACGTCGAGCTTGTGCGCAGGATCCCGGGTAAAGATTTCCCAGATCTTTTTATCCTGTGGAGTGGAAAAATAAAAGACGTATTAAAATTTAATCCGTGCAACATCTAAACAAATTATTTGATGTGTAAATATCTATATTTCAGGGTTTTAACCCTCACTATTGCACTTTTCAGCAGTTTATGCAATCTTTATAAGGTGAAAGCATATTAATCGTCTTTATAACGTTTATTTAGGACACATTAGTCAAGTTTAAAAAAAAGAAAACCTTACATACCTTATTATTTTCCCCTCTCACACGTGAATCTTCAGCTTCAGATGATCAACCATAGGTTCTCCTCACAGTATCCTCCTCGCTGAGGCCTTTGCCATACTAGACAGGACATAAAACACACAAAACTAATGAAGATCTGTGCTTTCATATGACAGCAGTGATTAAAAAGCATTTACAACATTGTTATATTTTTAAGGGAGTTCTCTTTTACATTAT